TTCCATTTAATCCAACGGAAAGTGACCTTTATGTACCATCTGTAAATCAATACCTTCAATGACAAGTGAGGCATGCCAGGCCAGCCAATACTGGCTCTTACTCTGCAGCAGTCTGTTAATTAGGTCATAGTGTGCTGAGTCCCTGCTGCTGAAATGAACTCATAGAGTTTCCCAATTGTTGAAAATGTAATTATCCCTTTTCAAAATGAACATTATAGTGCCTCTTCAAATTTAAAAGCTATAGCATTTTTTTAACATTTTATGTTTTATGTTTTAAACAATCATAACTGAAAACAAAAACTGTTTAACTTTTGTTTCCTTAATCCACAACTGTGGTCCCCATGTTGTCTTTTACCTTAACTGACATTTGGTTTTGGCAGAAGTTAGTGATGAGAGTGAAATCGTGAATCAGCCAGAGGATAAGCAGTGTAGTGGTGCCTGGAGAAGTCTTTTCTCAGCCCGTACTAGCAAAGGATATAAACAGTAACATGTAAGACTACTCTTGCATGTTTAATTCAAAATGCCATTTCATTTCTGCAGATTTAGATATGCAGATTTTGCATCAATACTGGACCACAATCTTCAGGGTGATGCAGGTATAAGATGATGCATTTTGAGTCAACTCTGCTGTCTATGGGCCAGTAGTTTCTTTTGTAAACTCTGAATCAGTTGATTTTCAACAGACACTGTAGGCCAGAATGTGCTACAATTATAAAGGTGAAACTATTTTATTATTATTATTCAAAATCCGGTTCACACTGACAACTGAGGTGAAAGCAGCTAGGAGGAGCCACGCTGAAAAGATCAAAAACAGTCTTTCAGTCAACGATCCGGCGTCAGTGTGGCGAGGCCTGCAGAACATCACAAACTACAGGAGACCATGTCAGCTTTTCCACAGACAGAAGATCAGGAAGCCACCCGGCCCAGACTGTGTGTCACTCTCCTGTCTGAAGGTCTGTGCTGACCAGCTGGCTCCCATCTTCACTCAGATCTTCAACAGATCCCTGGAACTGTGCAAAGTCCCCTGCTCTCCCCACTGCTCTTCTCCCTTTTCACCAACGACTGCACCTCTAAAGACCCGTCTGTTAAACTCCTCCTCCAGGACGGTGACGAGTCTGCTTACAGATGGGTGGTCAGAACAATCTGGAGCTGAACATGCTCAAAACTGTGGAGATGACAGTGGACTTTAGGATACGCCCCCCCCCCTCTGTCGCCCATCACCATCACCAACAACACTGTGACTGCTGTTGAAACCTTCAAGTTTCTGGGCTCTGGCAGAGGTTTTACTTCCTGCGTCAGCTCAGGAAGCTCAACCTACCTAAGGAACTGCTGTCACAATTCCACTCTGCCATCATTCAGTCTGTTCTCTGCTCTTCAATCACTGTTTGGTTTGGATTGGCCAGAAAACAGGAAAAGAACAGACTGCAACAGACAATAAGGTCCTGCAGAGAAAATTGTTGGTGTCAGCCTGCCCTCCATCTAGGACCTGTACCTGTCCAGAGTCAGGAAACGGGCAGGTAACATCTCTGCAGACCCATCACACCCTGGACACAAAATGTTTAAACTTCTCCCCTCTGGAAGGTGCTACAGAACACTGTACACCAAAACATCCCGATATAAGAACTGTTTTTTCCCTCAGGCTGTCTCTGTGTCAAACAGCTAAAACCGGACTCAAATATCAGTAACATCATCTGTACATACCAATATACTGCGCACACTGTATATGTGCATAGCTTTATATGTTCATAGCTTTTGTTTTTGTCTTCATTCTTGTTTATCTCTGTTTTTTTTTTTTTTTTTAACTGTTTGTACTAAGAGAGCAAAGTAAAACCAGAGTCAAATTCCTTGTGTGTGTTCACATACCTGGCAATAAAAGTGATTCTAATTCTGATTCAGATTATTTTACACGGTTCTGCCATTAAAAAGTGCTCAACATAGTTGACGTCTTCACCTTAAATTGTTATGAAAGAGGTAGAATCTGTGTCACCATCAGCATCCTCTCTGACAGGGGTGGGGGATTTGGGGACAGTGTGTGTACTTGCGTACTTTTGAACTACCATCACTACTTGAGCTGCTGGCGAGCAGCACAGAGGTAGCAGAACGTCATGAAACATCTGGTGAAACTATTGTTTAGGTAGTTCGCTTCCTATTTGAATTTCATCAGAATCCAAATTTAGTTGCGTTTTCTTAATTGAGTTCTGTTAATCAGTGGTTCAGGTAAAGGAAAGGTGATATTTTTTCCCACTGGGCCTCTACTCTAATATTCTTATCCTAACTTACCAATCAAACAAACAGTAAGGCATGGGATGCTTATTTTTTCTTTTTTTTAATAACCCGCCACCCCAACCCTCTTTGGAGGACATCTTTATACGTATACATTTGACATTTCAAATGCAAGTTCAAGGAGAAATAAATAAGTAATTAAAATGAAATAAATAGAATGATTGCATGAATTGTGTCGACTGTATAAGAATGGGTTAGTGCTGAGTGCTGTGTTTGTGCCTAGATGTATGAGAGTCAGGTTATTTGTTATTATGTGTGTGTGTCTGCATAGGCATGGGTGTGTTAGCAGTGAGGTCAGCTCACAAGAAGGTTTTAAGGTTCAGTGTGTAGAATTTAGTGACGTCTAGTGGTGAAGTTACATGTTCCAGCCGGATACCCCCATCTCACCCTCCCCTTCCAAACATGAGAGAGAACCTGTGGTGAACTTCAGTTATCATGAAAACTCAAAAGGTTTTAATTTGTCCAGTTTGGATGAAAACTAAAAAGGTTTTAATTTGTCCAGTTTGGATGACAGTAAAAAACATGGTAGGCTCCATGGAGAGGACCCCCCTCCATGTAAATACAAAGTTTCTAGATATCAAGGTTCATTCTATGGTAAAGAAAACAACAATTCATACAATTTAGATGATTACACACCAGTGAAAACATTACTAGGATTATTTCATATTAAATTTCTGCCAAAAATCCCTTTCAACTAAATCTTACACACTGGAGCTTGACAAATAAAAATGGTTTTCCAGATTAGTAAAAGAAATAGTTTTGAATGTTTTTTTATAGACGCTATAATTTTTTCATACAGTATGTGCTCTGTAAATTAGCTTGACCCATAATGGCATACTAACATTATATCTAGTTTTCCAATTCATGAATATGGTTTTCTTGACGATAGCAAATGCAGTATGTATACTTCAGAATAGAAATAGTAGTAATATAGGCTTACCAGTGGATTTCTTGTATGGTGGATTTATTCGTAGCATTCACAAAGCTGTGCTATTGTGTTTTCTTGCTTTTTGAGCGTCTTTACTTCACAGGGGTCTTGAATAATGTGATGACTAAGGAGGAGACAGCTGCGTTTTATATAATGAATGGCTGCTAGCTGCCTAGCAGCTGCTACCGCAATGATTTTGTTTCGTCATTTGGGGTAATTATTTTCACCCACGTGGATTGACAATGCAGCTACATTTACACTTGTGTTTAATGTGGTCACAAAGTATACGGGAGGTGGTTTGGGCAATCAGATCATAATCTGTTCTCGGTGTATCTTGGGTGCATTTATTTATTGATGTGGTCAAGCTCTATCATTTCTTTATCTGATCACCCAGAGAACATTCTGCAGGTGTAAATGAGGTAATTGTGTTTGTCTTTTATTTATTAAATAATTTTGTTGTTTCAGCATCAAATTAAAAATATTAACAAATATATTACCAACAGTAAGGTTTGACTATAAAGAATGCCATTGGAATGCATTTCTAAAGTAAAATTCTGTTAAGTTAAGTTATGCTGATCACAGAACAATGAATATAGGTTTAGAGTGGACCGTAGACAGGACCCCTCGATGTAAATATAAAGTATTTAAATATAAAGGGCCTTTCCTGGGGTAAAAAGTAGTGCTTTATTACTGATGTTAGGTAGCTGAATTAGCTGAATGCTAATGCAGGCCTGACAGGGAGACGGCGTTAGCAGGTGACATGTGTCTTCTCTGTTTACA